GTCAGATCTGCCATCAGTTGTTATTGTTATTTTTTCATAGTTATTGTATTCTATTGCTTTTAATGCTGTTGATTTTATTGTATACCACCCAGAAGCTATTGGGAGTTGGGTAGTGCCTAAATTAAATAAATTACATTAAATTTGAACAGATGTTTCTGAAAGCAAAACATATCATTTCCTTAATCCCTTCTCATATGATTTAGTTTCTTGCTTCCTGTTTCTTGTTTACTCTAAAACCATTTCTGGTTTGTGATATGGAATACAATATTTAAAAAAATATGAAATGATGCTCTGATGATTCTTGTGATAGAATTAAAAAAAAAACACAGGAAAAATAGGACCAAAATAAACGTTCCCAAATCCATTCACTCTTGCCACCACCAAAAATTCTACTGTTAAATAATTAAATTAAAAATGAACCACAACCATTTTATGTATCACCCATAGAACAGAGAAGTTGTTCTTCCGTACCCTTGTTAGCAAGCCAAAAATCCCCCAAAAGTTATTGCTTTCAAGGTAAAGTTAACAACACTGCTAAACAGAAATGTATGATAAATTGCTGAAATATGACAGCTATATGCTGTATGTTTAACTAAAGTCACAGAAGCATTTTAATCCATCAAATGCCAATACAAAAATGCCTTCCTTCCTCCCTCTCTTTCTCTCTCCCTCCAACAGGAAGTTAAGTGGCTACTGCTGGGTGGGGGAAGGACTGAAGGATTGTGCAAGTGGCTGAGAAACTGTCATGGAATATTTAAAGTTAGCATTATGGGACTAACGCAGCAACCCAGCAGACGTGAAACACAGCAGCCCAGCAGCAGTAAAGCAGCCCCAACTTTCACAAAGTCATTGATCCCAAATTTTGCACACATAGTGTAAGTTAGCCCCCTTGAGATACCATGGTTCAAAAATGAGAGTTTTAGTAGTATATAGATTGTGACTGTTTATTGGCACAGTGACATGATTTTTTTTTCTTTGTCACACTTCCTTCACTTTTTGTTTAAAGCACTTTTTATGTGTTGGGATTTTTTTCCTTCTTCGATAACATATGGTCTCCAACACTTATGTTTTGTTCCCTTTTTTTTCTTTGTTAGGAAGAAAAGATTAAAAAGAAAATTAAAAAATGATGGTGATGGGGAATTCCTGGCCACATCTTCCTTTTGTCATGCTTTCATATTTTCTTCCATCTTACTACTCAAAACCATAAGGTAGAATAGTTTAATAAATATGCCAAATGTAGAGAGATAGGATTTAAACCAATACTATGGCAACATACACATTTTAAAGACATGGCAGCAATTTTAATGTAACGAGCAAGAATTGCAATTAGAAACATGTAAAAATGCTTGCCTTTAGAATTTCACTATTTCAGGCAATAATTATATTACAAAAATGTTTAGAAATATACATGCAAAAGTTTTGGGAAGGAATCAGCAGGCAACACCAGCTGTTCCAAGAAGAATGTTGGCATCAGCGGAATGCACATGGACCAAGATTAGAAAGTTTGAATCAGCAACTAGAAATACTAGCCTGCCAGCATTTTTACCGTATTTCATACACAAAAATGCACATTGCATGGAAGTAGCTTTCAGGACTTCAATCTGAAAGCAATTCCCTTAGGAAGAAAAGGAAAGAGGGGCTCTCCTTTTCATGGACGAAAGACTTAGCAGTAAACAACCCATTCACGGACCTTCATGACACACAGCCATGACACTTCTTATAACTTACCGCCAAGCCAGTTCCTTCCAGATGTATTGAGGTTATAACTGCAAGAATTCCCCACCAAAGATCCTGCTGGTTGGAAGTCTGGGAGCTTCCCTCCCAATAACATTGGAAGGTGTCATGGAGAGCTAATCACTCTACCTGCTGTATTCTACAAGAATCTGTTTTTGGTTTGTGTAAAAAAAACAAAAACCTATCCTGGAGAAAAAACAGGGAAGGTAAGACCTGAAGGGTGGAATGGGACAACTTACTGTGGCCAACTCACCACAGCCAATTCGCCATAACCAACTCGCTTTAGCCAACTTGCCAGGGGACAACTCGTCATGGCCAACTCTCCATGAGACAACTTGCCACAGGACAATTCAACGATTCAATTACTTAATATAATTTAAAAATTATTTTATTTTTTGTCATTCATGTTTCGTTCTGTCGCTCCTTTGGCATCCTTTCTTTAATGATTCTATTCCACCATTTCTTTGATATTGGTGTAACTCTTGTCCTGTGGCAAGTAGTCCTGTGGCGAGCTGGCCTGGGGGAAGTGGGCCAAGTTGAGGTAGCTGTAGAGGGTTGAGTCAGAGATCCTGTAATCCAAACCCAATCAAGCCTGCAATCCACCACTAATGCAGGTGCCTCTTTTGGAGAAGGAGGTCACCAATTCCCAAAGAAAGAAACCCATCCTTACAGCAATATTAGGAAATGTTTCCTGATGTTCAACAAAAAAAATGACTTTGTTGTAATTTAAACCATTGCTTCTTGTCATGCCTTAAAAAAAAACTCTATTCAATTTTACTTCCTCTTCTACATGACAGCCTTTAGATATTGTCTCACTGAAGGTTCCTTTTCTCCATGCTCGCCGTATCATGTGACTCCCATGGTTTCTTTTAAATTTCTCCTTCCAGGGATTTTATAATTTTGATTGTTCTCTAAATGATGCTCCTGTTCATCAACGTCTTTCCAAAATCTATTTGTCCATACTGGATGCAATGTGGTCTGACCAATGCAGAATAGAGAGGAGCATTGACTTCAAGAAACACTGTGTTTGATGCTATACTTCTGCTGATGTAGTTTCATTTGCTGCTTGGTTGGTTTTGCAGCATCACCTTAGTTTTTATATCTACTTGTGACCCACCAAAATACCCAGATGCTTTGTCAGAATCCAATTATATTTCATCTCTAGTTATCGAGTATGGAAAACCCCATTTCTGCCCTCTCTGAATTCTGTCATACTACGAAGGGGAAGGGGGATAAGCAAAGGGGTTTTATGGCTCTCACTTCCTTCGTTACAACTTCAAAGGGACTGAATGTGGATATCACCAAAAGGACTAACCATAACAATAGGGCCCATCACCTTTCATGTACTCTTCTCTGAAGTCTCCCTTCCACCGGCCATGAGGAAAAAAGGGGTGGAAATGTAACGCCTGCGATTGTCGCTGGAAGGACGGTGGGGTGGGGGGGCTGCTTGGGACCACTTAAAACTTTGAATGAGAGGACTTGGGCCCCAGGTCCTGTCTAGAACGCTTGCAACCATTTTCTCTTAATAAAGATGCCTGTTGGAAGAAATATTCCAAGAGTTCTGTCTTCTTAAGATGCAAAATGGGGTGGGTCTTTACATGCTTATTACTTATTGTTATTGCCTAGCATAGTTCCAGACCATCACATCACAGGAAATGTTTTATGAAAGTTTGTATTACGTCATGAACTATTTTACAGTATGGTAATTTTTATGTTATAAAATGTTTTATAAAATTTGCCAAGTTTTGATTTCACAGGAGTCATGGGTTCTGGATTTAGGATGCATTCTGTAAGTTAACTTATCTGAGATACCTTGGTTCAAAAATTGTTGTCCTATGATGCACCATTTCACCCAATTAAAGGTTACAAGAACCAGAATTTAGTAGTATATAATTTATACACCATTCAAAGGAGACAATAAAATAGCTAAGAAGAAAACAAAAAGGACCAGAACATATTCTAACCAGCAGCACCACATGGGGAAGGGAAAGACATATTTAAGTTATAACAGCCTGCTGTATATGTAAAAGCAAAACTTTTATCTAGATTCGACGATGCACTAACTCTGAAATCAGGCTACCGCACATAGAAATCAATTAAGCCCTTTTCACACAATTCTGATTGCATATCCTATTCAGCCCAGGGTGGAGCTCTACAGCATTCTAAAGAAACCTCAATGGCCTCATACAGATATTTAAGGGTTAAGTCCTGTGGCCCCCTGCACCAGGGTGCTTGAAGACTGGACTTCTTCCAACTCCATCCCATGTGATGGAAAACCATATAGAAGAAGAACCACTGCAAAGCAGCATCTTGCACTGTCATCACTGCAGAGATGTCCAGAAGGGCTGAACTCTCCAGTCCCAGATCTGCAACAGGCCATCTACCAGTACAACCGATGCAACCTCTTTTGCATACACCTGCCTAAATGCCAAGTGAACTGAAGTCCAAAACAGATTTGTTCAACCCAATCCTATTTGACCTTCAGTCACTGTCTCAAACTTGTTAAAAATGAATGCAGAACATTGTATTTAGTTAGTTAATTTAGATAGCTAACCTGTCAATATACCACATAAGGCAGCACACTATTCAAACAACTTTTTTTTGTAAAAAGTTTTTATTTTCAATTTTACAATACATTACATTCTTAAAAATACTTCAGATAAAAAATAAAACAAATTGATACACAGCACTTTCGGTATTGCTCACCCATTTCCCCCCAAACCGCATCCACCCTGTAACCAACTTGCCTCTTTCCCTCTTCTTCCTCTTCCTCACTCACCCCCTTTCCTCCTTCTCCTCAGCCTTCCTACTTGCTTCTCACCTTCTTCTATCTTCTCGCTCCAGATGCGGTCCAGGGGACATGCCCGAGCAATTCCTCTCTCCAAATTGAAACCTCAATATTATATACAATAAAATTATTTCTACTTATCTGAGTTACTCAAACTTCAACCCATCCTCCCCCTTCTCCCCCCCCCCACTTCCCAGAGCAAAGTATAGGGTTATACAAACATATTAATCCAGAAGGCTTTAATATTTTTACAAGTCCACCAAACATGAAAATAGGTTGTATCCAAGCAACCACATCTCCAACATTTAGGTTGCAGGTTCGGGTACATACAAGACAACTTTTTAGGATCCAGATGCCATCTATAAAACATTTTATAAAAATTTTCCCTCAAATTTTGAGCCTGCGTAAATTTAACATTTCTAATCCAAATTACCTTCCATAAGTCCAATGAAATCAGTTCCTGAATATTCTGGGCCCATTTAATCATACAATCTTTTACTAACTCTGTTTCCGAATCCAATTTTATTAACTCATTATAAATTCTTTTAATATGGGCATGTTTCTGTTCCTTAATCTGAATTACCAAATTTTCATCTACTAGAGTAATTCCCACATAGAAGAAGAACCACTGCAAAGCATCATCTTGCACTGTCATCACTGCAGAGATGTCCAGCAGGGCTGAACTCTCCAGTCCCAGATCTGCAACAAGCCATCTGCTAGTACATAAGGCAGCACACTATTAAAACAACTTTTAAGACTATTTAAAAAACTATCAAAATATAGTGAGGCAAACAGCAAATTATGCCATTAAGCAATTCAGCAACGAAAGGTAAACAATCTATGGGGGCTTCAGAAGGCCACCGATCCAGTGTCTGTGGAAACCAGGTCTTCAAAGGCTTACAGGTAGGATTGGGGCCATCTGGATCTCAGGCGCAATGCTATTCTGTAGGGTAGACACAGGAACAAAGATTTAGAGGTAACATCCCATCATTTTTTCCCATTGATCTTCCATCAGAAACTGTCATGGAATGCTATCTTTACAGCTTATAATGTCTAATATTTTTTTTAAAAGTACGAAAAGTGTTTTTCAGTCTTTTGGTTTCTTGCCATTGTGTGGAATCTGTTTCTGAGACTGCATGTTAGTTACCTAGGCAACCACAGATAAGTAAGAACTGAAGAGGCCGTGCTGTCTAAAGAAGTCAATGCCATTGACAGGCACAGGAGATGACACAACTACACAAACTGACAGAATCTTTTCATTATATATATTTTTTCCAAACACAAGATTGATTTGTACCCATTGCCAATATAAGAGTTTCTCTGACTTCTGCTCCTATAATGTATATTTAACATTTAACATGTACAAATTCTGGATTTGTACAGAAGACAAATGAAAAAGTAGTAGTTGTGATAAACCAGTATTAACTTATGCATAATATACAGTAATTTCACACTCAACTATATTTACCTGCTCCCAATGGCCAATCCTGTCTGTTACTTCTGCAGCTAGGGTGGGCAGTTATTGTTTTTATTGTTTGTTATGTTGGGTTTTTATTTTTGTAAGCCACCCAGAGTTATTCATAGATGAATGAATGAATAAAGCTACATCTTTTCTGTATATTGAGTCTTAAGTGTACATTGTGTGCATTGATGGAGCAATTATAAAAGGAACAATACAAGGAGAAAAAAGAAAAAAAAACAAGGTTGAACTGTGGCAAAGTTAAATCTAAGCATACAGTCCACTTTTATAGCATTTGTAACACCATTTTTTCCTCAATAGCTTCAGTGACAAATTTTGCCATCTTATAGGTGATGTCTGGGCTTAAATCTAATAAAAGGAGTACATAAAAGGTGTTTGGTCTGCCTACACATTTGCCTAGAAGAGGTGCTATGAATAAACATCAGAAGTCCCCATAGAAAGAGTAGTACAATAGCACATGTACCACTGACTTAACAGATTCAGAAAGGCATGGATAGGCTAAAGAATGACTCAGTGTTGAATGGATGTAGACTGAATACAGAAATGAATATTCGCTTAGGAATATTCATAAGTAACCAATATGAAAGAAATTCACTGAGATGGTTTAGCTATGTAGAGAGAACAAATGATGATCCAATTGCAAAACAGAAATAAGAAGAGTGCGCAACCAGACTGAGGGGAAGAGAAGGGAAAGTTGTGTTTCAGTAGAGTTGGTGAGAACCTGAAAAAGAGTACACAAGAAGTTTAAACAACAAAAGATTCTGATACTCTAGAAAGAGTGCAGAGAACAGCAACAAAGATAATTAGGGGATAAAACATACAAAGGACAGTTGCAGGAACTGAGTATGTCTAATCTAGTGAAAAGAAGAACTAGGGGTGACATGATAGCAGTGTTCCAATATTTAAGAAGAGGGACTCAAGCTATTCCCTAAAGCACCTGAAGGCAGGATAAGAAGCAATGGATAGAAACTAATCAAGAAGAGAGCCAACCTAAAACTAAGGAGAAATTTCCTAATATGAGAACAATTAACCAGTGGAACAGCTTGCCTCCAGAAATTGTAAGTGCTCCATCACTAGAGGTTCTTGAGACTGGGCAGCCATTTTTCTGAAATGGTATAGGGCAGTGGTGGAGAACCTATGGCACATGTGCCAGAGACGGCATTCATTGCCCCAGCCCTGCCTCTCCCCCTCACCAACAGCTCCCCCCAGAGGAGAGTCGACCCCCGGCACTTCCCGCGCGGAACAGCACAACATGGCAGCCAGGACAAGACTCTGCCTTGCACTCCATTGTGCGCAGATGATGCATGGCCACCATGGCACTACAGGATCACCTGGGCGATCTGCGGCAGGCCGTGGAGGTGGTGGGTGGCCCTGCGGGCAGGTGGAGTGGCGGCAGAAGGGGTGGAGCGGGCAAGCAGCCAGAGCAGGGGCGGGGCGGGTTTTGGGCACTCGGTCTCTAAAAGGTTCACCATTACTGGTATAGGGTTTCCTGCTTGAGCAGGGGGTTGGACTAGAAGACCTCTGAAGTTCTTTCAACTCTATTATTATGTTTTTAAAAAGTCAATGTATAAAGTACAGGATGGGCAGGATGGAAGCAAGGGCATCATACATTTGATTTCTTTGGCTTATTATTTTTAGTGACTTTTCTGCACTCTGTTGCTTATCTGAAAAGAGAATAGTGTGATAATAATATAGGACAACTTAAGGAAAGCAACCTGGCTTTGTTTCTTCTTACCCCAACTATCCCCCGTAGTGGAAAAACCACCATCTATTGCTCTCTTCAATGTGTATGGAGGCAAACCTTGGCAAATACGCATGGCTGAAAGATGAGTTGAACTGTCTACTCACCAAGCTGTCTAACAGGCTGTTCAGCTACTGTTGAACACAAGCTTCACACTAGGAAAAGTTCTGTGTTCAGAAATATACCAGCTGACAGATCACAACCCCAGAGGGGGCATGGAGGTATCTTCCATGCACTGGAAGAATTGCCTCCTACATCTCCAGGACTGTGGTGGTCAGCCAAGTATTTTTCAGGTGTGGCTGTACTGCTCTTTCAAAATTAGGGTGGGCCTATTTTCAGAAATACCCCAACTGACAGCTCACAGTTGCCCAGGAGAGATTCTGAAAGGTGCTGCAGCACTCCCACCTCACGCCCTGGGATTCTGCTCCTACTCCATTGTAGCCAATCAACTGGGCTTACAGATGTAGCAGGACACAATAAGTAGCCATGGCTGGAAGTATCAGGAAATTGCTTTGGCGTAGGCAGGGTGGTGGAGGAATGGGTCAAATGGCATTGCCCTCAAGTAATGAAAATGGAAGAAATCCATGAAGTGGGAAGACTGCAATGCACAAAATTAGTAAACACTAGAAGCACCTGGCTCTCTTTTTGGATTTAAATCAAAAAGATTTGGTGCAGCAACCCTAGTTTTTTAATCACAAATCTAGCTGTTTCAAAAGAATGCTAAATTCTTATTTAAGAACAGGTCTACTGCTCTTTCCAAAGACTGCATCCCAGGAGTGCTCACAAGAGAGATCAATGACATCAAAACAGTGGCCATGACCAAGGCATTTGAAGCCCCACCCTTTTTTGCAGTTAGGTAGCACATGTAAAAAGATGAGTCCTTGAAAACAAGCAAGATCTAAGAAGACCTACAGTTTCCCCTTCTGCGAATTGAACAAATACTCAGGTACCTGTTTGGTTGATGTGATTTTTCTTCTCCATTAAGTGCAACATGTTGGAAGTTTAACAGTGACATCACAATAAGGCATCAAAGTAAAATTCTTCATTAGAATATTGTGATGTATTTCCTGTATCTCATTCTACATGCTAGTTTTAAATGGATTTGTCTTCTGTTCTTTATCCTGAGCTATCTACTTAATAATCTCTATGAAGCTACTATAAAGTAGTGCCTGAAGACAGCACTCTCAGTCTGGGAAAAGAAAGAATTCAGAACAACAACAAAAAATGAGATGCGTTCCCGTATTATACGACAGTTGACCAGGGTGGCAAAAATATATGCTTTTGGTGGTCGCAAACTTTTAATAGTCAACACAATTAGCTCTGGACTCTTACTAGGAGTTGCAGATATAATACAGCAGTCTTTGGAGCAAAGGAAAAAGCAAAAACAGTGGGATATTGATCGTACATTTCACATGTTAGTCACTGGATGTAGCACGGGACCACTCCTGCATTACTGGTATTTATGGATAGACAAAATAAGCCCAAGAAAAGGAGTTCAACAACTTCAGGTTGTCATCACAAAGGTAGCAATCGACCAGACCTTTGCTCCATTTTTCGGAGGTTGGTATTTCATAATCATGGCACTGCTTCAAGGCCATAGTTTGGCAGATGGCATTGATGAATTTAGAGATAAATTCTGGGACTATTATTTGGCAGAGCTAGCTGTTTGGCCAGCAGCTCAAACGTTTAATTTTCTATTTCTCCCCTCAAAATACCGAGTGTTGTTTGTGAACGTAATGACATTGGGATGGAATGTCTACCTTTCGTATTTGAAACATCGAAGTTGATGACCGGAAAGGCTTGGAAGCAAAAGAGCCAAAGAGGAAACTGCTTTCTTAAAGACGATTGCACTAGCTAAAAATATACTATATTCAGATTTGAAGCATTCTCAATGGAATTGTATTCTTTTGTTCTTTAACTGGATAATGTTTTATGCTAGTTGTCCTGAATAAACTTTTTTTTAAATGGTTGAGGAGTTCCTGCACATTATTACATTCAATTTATTTAAAGTACATGTACATCATTTTCCAATGATAAGTTGTCTCTAAAAATCCTTAAAAGTGATACAGTTTAAGACAGCTCTGATGCAAACAAATTTGATCTGTTTGCAGATTGATCTCCACTTGACTTGGAAACATTTCATCTGAATATATTATGTGTTTTCCAGTTTTTTGTTCCCTCACAGTTCTATTGCTAGCTCTGGGATTTTCCTATCATTAGGTGATGTGAAACAAAAATAAAATAAAATCATGATATCAAAAGACAATTATACAATTATTTAATTTATTAATCTGATTTTACATAGTTCTGCCTTAGATCATCTCAGTCTATTGTTGCTTAGCATTTGTTCTGTGTTATGTACGAAGGCCTCACGGCAGTTTGCCTTGTTCTCTGCTTCTGCTCAATAGTAATTGCCCAAGAGAAATTATTGCTTGATTACTCTAACAATCTGAAATTTTAGTTACATTTGGTAAGCTAACGAATGGCATGTGTAGATTTGCAAAGTACAAATAGTGTACATATTTTAAACACAATACTGCAATACACCACAAAAAGTCAACTGAGAGGGTAGAGGAAAAGGTTGAATATATGTAATCAACATGTAGAAGCAACTTTCATTGGATCACCAACTTCCACTGGGTTGCCAGGAAAGGGGACCTGATTCTCTCAAGATTGTTACAAGATGGCGGAGACATAAAAATGGTTACTTCAATGCATAACTCTAAATGGTATGAACCACAGATATCACTGCCAATGTTGGCACCAACTGTGCATCTGTATAATATTGACATAGTAACCCGCATCTGTCTCAAACTGCCTTTGTTTAAGGACAGACCTTCTGCATGCAGTAGCACTCAGCAGCAAAAGTATAGTTTCCCAGACTGTAATAACTAATTGCTGGGAATATATGGTTTATTGATGTTAGCTTGTCTTTTTTTTAATAAAAAGTTTTTATTTTCCATTTATTCAACATATACAGAATTCAGTTTACAAAATAAGATAAATTCATAATCATAACCATTGGTGCCGCTTGCTCATTCCCCCCAGGCTGCATCCACCCTCTCTAATACCTTCCCTACTTCCCTCCTCTTTCTCTCCTCCCCTCCTGCTCTCTTCCCCCCCCCCTTCTCCTCTTACCATCCTACTTCCTCCCTGCACCTTCCTCCCCACTCATCCCTCTCAGACACAGGAATACAGCATAGGGGAAATGCCCAAGCAGCACCTCTCTCATAAATTACCGTATCTATATTATCCTATTCTACCTATTTACCCACCCACTCACCCACCCACCCACCCTCAAACCCCCCCCCTCACTTCCCAGAGCAGAGTACAGGGTTATTAATAACAAAATTAACAATATACAATAAAAAAAGAAAAGAAAAAAGAAGGAAAGAGAAGAGAAAAAAAACATACTTAGCCCTTAACTCCCCTTACATAAACAAATCTCTTATACAACATTTACTATAAGATTTACTCATAAAATAAATGATACTTTGTAGTCCCATACTTTTTCTGAATATAATCTATCCATTTTCTCCATACAATAATTGTCACATGTTCCGACTAATGAAGCACTTCAAAGAACTTTCAGGCATGTTTCCTAAAGTCTTTATTTGCAGAGCTACAAATTTTGCCAGTCACCATGTTGGACTGGTTAATGCCAGAATCTGAACTTCCTGTCGCTGGCATCAAGCTTTCCTTGCTCAACCCCTCCCTTCTCATGCAGTCACAGGTCACATTATCCAATTAGTGAGAAGGTCAAACGTTTACTTCCTCTTTCTTTCCCGGGCTTTTTCCCCGCTCAGTCTAAGCTAAGTATTAACCCAATAAATGCCAGACAGTTTTGCATATTGTCAAAGCAAGAATATACAGTATTTGCAGCATTGACATCCGGCCCCCCTTACAAGAAGGACAGATCCTGTAAGGAAACAAAAGCATATGTTAAGGGTTATCTTTCGGTTTGCTGGGGTGTTTCACATGAAACTTTTCGATCAATCTGTCAGCGTTCACTTCACTAGATTTCACCCAGGTGGCTTCAGACAATGGGTATCCCTTCCATTGTACCAAGTACTGTAATTTCCCTCTAAAGATTCTGGAGTCAAGAATACGTTTCACTTCATAGTGGGTCTGCCCTGCCACTACGAGGGGTCCAGGTGCCTTCTTTGGAGGAGGTCTCAAAGTGGAGCCCCGATAAGGCTTCAACAAACTACAATGGAAAACTGGGTGAATTTTCCCTAACAGTTTAGGGAGTTTTAGTTGTACTGTGACTGGGTTGATGACCTTTACTATGGGGAAAGGCCCCAAGAATTTTGGTCCCAATTTCTTGCTGGGCAATTTGAGGCGTAGATATTTAGTTGACAGATAGACCTTTTCCCCAACTTGGAATGTTCTTTGGGGAGCCCTCTTTTTATCAGCTTATTTTTATAGGTTTCAAAAGTCTTTTTTAAAGCAGTTTTTGTGTTTTTCCAAACTTCTTCCCATCCTCTCACCCATTGATCAAGTGTCTGTGAAGCGGAGGGCAACTGAGGATATTCAGGTATTGGGTTGAATTCTTTCCCTGTGGCTACTTTGAAAGGCGTGTAGCCGGTGCTGCTGTGCACGGAATTATTGTATGCCACCTCCGCAAAAGGGAGGAGATCAGTCCAGTTCGTCTGTTGGTAGGAAACGTAGCACCTAAGATATTGCTCCACCATTTTGTTAGCGGCTTCAGCGGCCCCATTGGTGGCTGGATGAAAAGCAGATGATAACCCTTGAGATGATCCAATCAATGTAAGGAAATTTCTCCAAAACTTCGCTGTGAATTGCACCCCGTCTGAGATTATTTGCTTAGGGGCACCATGCAGCCGGTAGATATGTTTCAGGAACAATTTGGCCAGGCGTTGGGCGGATAGGAGTCCTTTGCAGGCGATGAAATGAGCTTGTTTCGAGAACAGGTCTATCACAGTCCAAATGACAGTATTTCCCTTACTTTCAGGTAGGTCCACCTGGAGTCTTGGCATTCTCCTGTGTGTGGGGTGTAACCTGGGCGACTGGTTCTTGCGTGAGTCGATTAGATTTTTCTCTTGGTAGCCGCTGAGCAGGTTTCTTTTGCATCGCCGGTCCTGGCTTGCTCTGCAGTCGAGGGTAGGGGACTGGACAGGTGGCCGCTCGGTGTCCTCCTTGTCCACACCGGAAACACTCGAAGGAAGGGCGTGCAGGTGGCCTGGGTCTCTCAGCCCTTGCAGTGGTTGAAGGCTTTCGTGGGGGTGATTGCTGTTCAGGTAGCTCTGGTTGCTGTTCGGGTTCCTGTGGGGGAGGCTTTTTATAGCGAGAGAGCTTAACATCCAGCTTCACGGCCGTCTGGTACCACTCCTGCAGCCGATCAGGTACTTCTCGATAGATGCAAGCCTGGGAGAGGTGATCATCTAATCCCTCGATGAAGTGATGGATGAGGGACTGCTCAGGCCACCCCTCTATTCGACCTGCCATCTTGCGGAACTCTCGCACGTACTCTAGGGCAGGCCTCCCTGCTTGTTTTATCTTGTGAATTTGTCCTGCTGCTTTGAGGCCGATGGGTCTTCAAATCGTTCTCTCAGTCCTAAGAGAAAGAGATGGGGATCCTCCAATTCGAGGGCTTGCTCGCTATATAGATTGTTCAGCCATTCAGATGCTTCTCCCTCCAGGTTGTCCCCAATGACGTCAACCATGGCCCCTGGTTCCGGGTAGAGATAGGCCCAGCGATTTAAGTGAGAACGCACTTGGTTGAGGAAAAAAATCAGCTTCTCTGGGTCCCCATCGAACGTTGCATTGAAGGGTGGTGCAAACACAGGCTGCTGTGGCCCCCACTGGGGCTGGTTCCATGGCTGCTGGCCAGCGGGGTTGGATGGTACCCCCTGCTGCTATAGGCCTCCCAATGGTGGCTGCGCAAGTGGGGGTTGTAGTGGTCTTCTCTGTTGTTGGACTGCAGGGGGTGGTGGTGCCCTCTGCTGCTGCTGATCATCCATCTGCTGGGGAAACCCATCTACCCATTGCTGCAGATGCCTCAGACTGGAACTCACCCTCTCTTCAGGGTTGGGGTCTCTGGCTGGCAAAGGCAGGGTCTGACAGGCTTCCTGCTGGGCTCCCCATCGCTCTTGTGGCCACCCCAGTTGCTGTAGGCCCCAACCTGGCTGCAGATTTATGCCCAGGGGTTGCACGTTTGGGGGCTGTGGCCAACCTCCTTGCTGTGGCTGTTCTCCCCCCAGCTGCTGATTTCCTGGCTTCTGTACCACCCCAAGACATTGCAAGGCCTCTATTGGCTGTGGTAAGTTCAGAGGACATGGATCAGCCACTTGCTGGGGAACCCAATTTCCCCTTTGTTGCAGAGGATTCAAACTGGGATTCTCTCTCTTAGGGATGAAGGTTTCACTTTGTAGGGACTGTTTTCTGTTTCTCATTTCTAAGTTTTGAAATCTTTCCAATGACTCACCCATAACTGTGTTATCTGTCCATGCTGCTTTTGAAGTCTTCGCTCTCAGCTGGGAAATCTGCCAAATTTCTCCCTCCCCCGGCTTGCTGGCTGTCGCTTTCCCCCCCGGGGAAACTGCTGCAGCTACGGGGCTGGTTTCAGGCAATTTTTTTTTTCTCCATAATGAGATCTCCCCCGAGGCTGCTGTTGATAAATCGGGACGTAGATCGTTTGAAAAGAGTGCGGATTCTGGCATGATGTCACATGTTCCGACTAATGAAGCACTTCAAAGAACTTTCAGGCATGTTTCCTAAAGTCTTTATTTGCAGAGCTACAAATTTTGCCGGTCACCATGTTGGACTGGTTAATGCCAGAATCTGAACTTCCTGTCGCTGGCATCAAGCTTTCCTTGCTCAACCCCTCCCTTCTCATGCAGTCACAGGTCACATTATCCAATTAGTGAGAAGGTCAAACGTTTACTTCCTCTTTCTTTCCCGGGCTTTTTCCCCGCTCAGTCTAAGCTAAGTATTAACCCAATAAATGCCAGACAGTTTTGCATATTGTCAAAGCAAGAATATACAGTATTTGCAGCATTGACAATAATGTTAGCTTGTCTTGATATTAAGTAGCTGACTTAGATAATTTCTGCCCAATCAGTAGGAATTCCAAAAATACTTGTAAGATTTAACAGCTATCCAAACATCGGTATGAGATTATAATAAAAAAGGTAGCGAAAATCCAATGATTAAGACATACTCTCTTATGCTATGGTTAAATAGACATTGCTATGCAAACTTTGTAACTGAAAGAACTGTTAGTCTTGAAGTAAAGTTCTTATTTAAAACATCAATCCTATATATGCCGGTTTCAATTAGTTTAATACGGTATGGTCATAGTAAACAGAAAGATATACCTGTTTCTAGTGTTGTGTCATCTTTTTCATATTTTAGGTTATTGCTTATCTTTACCCTCTGAATAAATTGCTTTTCCCTTCTTTGTCTTCTATAATAAATCAGATATATAAGGCAGTGAAGTAGTGACTTTGATCACATATTGCCCTAAGTTATAACATGGCTTCAGTGGTGGGATTCAAATATGTGAACAACCGGTTCTCTGTGTGGATACTGCTTCCGGAAGTCCATTCTGAGCATGAGAAACAAAAAATTAGCTGCCGGTTCTGCCGAAGCAGTGCGAACTGGCTGAATCCCACCACTGCATGGCTTGTTTCCAGCTTAGTCAATATGCTGTCTGGACCAAGTCAATGTGATCTGTGAAGCATGGTTTATGACCTAGAACACTGTGCAAACTCAATTAAGAATTTATTTATTCAATAAACTGTCATTAAACCATAATTACCAAAACATGAACCTGGTTGAGGACTTGTTGCACAGGAATTTAAAATCTATCCTAAATCTCTCTAATCCAAATTCAACACTCTAGAGCAGTGGTGGCGAACCTATGGCACATATGTCAGAGGCGGCACTCAGAGCCTTCTCTGTGGGCACGCATGCACGCACACACGCCGTCGCCCCAGCACCACCTCCCCTGCAGCCCCCTCCTCACCAGCAACCCCCTGGAGAGTCGCCCACAGGCATGCCCCATGTGGAGCAGC